TATAAATATAACTATGAAGTCTTTAGGCGTCCCCTTCGCCGTCTTCTTGGGTAACGGGCTCGGAAAAAACGTCTTCCTAATCTAAAATGGTTAAATAAGGAATGAGGTACACCAGTCAAGTAAAAACATCACACTATCTCACCACCACAGAAGTAAAGGTGGGTAGAAAACAAAAATGACTAATGGAACATAATTTATAACAAACTCGTTTATTAACATAAAAACCTTTACTGTCCACTTACCTCGGTGAGATCCATGAAAACAACATATGAAAGCAGTAACATTATTATCATCATGAAATCATATAGATTTTATAACATAACACTTACCACACATTTGCATTTCAATCATTAAACAACATATTTTTCTATTTTACCAGTCTATTAGTATCCATGGGGATTCATAGGGGGTCCTCGCTACTCGTGAACCATTAACATTAATAACCTGATTCCAGGGCCGTCCTCATACCCCGTCCGGTATGGGCGCCAAAACCATAAACCTCCATACTCCGTCCGGTATGAGGGTGAAACGGGCCGCCCCCATACCAAGTCCGGTATGGGTGCCAAAACACATAAGGTCTTCATACCCCGTCCGATATGAGAGACCACGTTCCCGGTAGGGTTCCCTACGGACCCGATCCGACCACCAGCTCCCAGAATATCTAGTCAGGCTGTCCACATTATCCATTTTGCCTTTTTTCTTGATCTCAATCATCAAATCATACACAACATGTAAACTAGTAATTGACACCAAACAAGACAATACAGTATCGAGTTCACCATAATACAAACCATAATAAAAGAAACTATGATTCATATATACGAGACCATAACATAATTACATCAAACATCATACTGCATTTAATACTGAATATTTGATCAAACAACAACTGACCAACAATGTGTCAGACTCAGACTCCATTAGCAACCTTAATCAATTATACATCTATAAAGTTACACAGTACAGTTTAATTATTTATTTAGCTTTAATACCGTTATAGGAAATAAGGTGAGGGGTCCTTACTTATTTCGGGGTCTGAAATCGACTCTACAGTGCCCCTACGGGCTGTCCCTAATTTTCCTGAATTTTTTTCAAAAAATTAAAACGTACTATCGATACCTGCACATGTCCCAAAAAATCTCAAATCAGACTTAGGGCCCCTTTTTGGCCAATATCAGAATTTCGGCACGGCGGCTCTACCGTGCTCCGGCAACGGCGGCGGCGATCT